AAGGTCTGCGTTGTCCGCACGCTCGCGTGCTCCTTTTAATTCGTCATAGATACAGATTTCTATTGTCCGCGATTAGAAGATGCACCGGGTTTCTAAGAGGTTTCGCCCAAGACATCCGTCATTCTTAAAGGAACCGTTCCGAGGAACCTTTAAGCCGAGATACGCGAGATATTACCGCGTCTCGCGGGAATTGAATTTATCCCCATCGCCGTATGAATTTTACCGTTTCGATTTCTCCTTCGTAAACGGCGTATAACGAGGAGGGAAGGAAGGAGATGCAAATTGCGAACGCGGGCGATGCCTGTGTGGTGGTACCGTGGTCGACAATTCCGCGGGAACGAATGGAGCGTGGATGTGGATCGTGCCAGGGTTACGATAGCATAGAACGCGAAAGCCGATGGGATTATTTCATCGACCTCGACCCGCTGCTCTTTCCAATGCACGGCCCTCATCTCTAACACGGCCCTCCGATTAGGACGGTTATCATAGCGACGCTAATTCGGTGTCATTACCGTCGATAGCTTTATTTTTCCTCTCTTTTTCTCTCGCCTATTTTTCCGGCCTCGCTCCCCCCCTCCCTCCCCCGCCTCCCTCCCCTCTCTTTTTTTTTCCCATTGAGATAGAGAGCAGATTAGTCTCTCTGGCGGAGAGAGACGCGAGCGTGCAAGAAATCAAACTCTCTCATTCTGAAGAGCGGAGGGAAGAGGGGGAAATTAGAAGGCGAGAAGCTGCGCTCTTTTATGTCTTTCTTCGTAAAGAAATGCGAGGGAGACGGACGGACGTACGGCGCGTGTTTTCAGAAGGAAGATTTACACCGCGTTTGTTTTACATTCCGAGTGGAGACGATTCAATTTACGACAGTTAGAAAAACGAGAGACGTCCTGCCATTTAAGTGCAATAATACCCGTCCGAATTTGTTGTTTGTCGTATCGCAACCGTCGTGTCTGTGATGTAACAAACAAATTTCCATTCGATTACGATCGCTCCAGATACGAGAAAGGAGAAAAACAAAGGTACTTGTATGCATTATTATGTTTCATTATTACAAAACAAGATATCGGATATCAGCACCAGAGAATTATCAAGATCAAGCGAATAGATGCGAATGACGATATCGTTGAACCCAACGAAATTCTTTCGTTTTGATATCGTTTGATTTCGTTTCGATCGACGAACACGAGGAAATCGAAAAATTCAAGAATGCCTATTGTGTGACCAAAAAAAAAAAAAAGAAAAAATATATATTGCGAGCTCAGACGCAGCTGCGCTTTTGAATTTTCCCGATAAATTCCATGCTAATTTCTCGCAGCGTTCCAGAAACTCAAAGAACGTAAATGAATTTAATTATTTCTTAATTATCTCCGGTATCTCGGGCCGTGTTCTTTCGCCGGCGGTAGAACTCGGCGATTGTGATGTCTGTACGCAATCGTTTTTTCCGGTTTACCGTTCTCAAATCGCGCTATAACGCGCAGTTTCAGACCTGACGAATGGTTCACGTATCACCCCGAGTGATGATACCCACGCTAAAAAAAAAAAACGCTCAACGATCAAGTGCGCGTGGTTTGAGATTGAGATCGCGCGATCGCGATCTCCATCCGACCGGATGGAGATCCCTTCCGCGACACGCAGAGACGTCGGCATAAATGACGACGCGATGACCGGACGCGTGTTGTCTTTCTTTTTATCCTCCACGTTCTCTCTTCTTTCCTCTCTTTTTTTTTTCTTCCCCTCCCTCCCCCGCAGCCGAAGTGACGACTAGGAGAGGATCGCCAACCGGTTCGCGGCATCCACTTTGGCTACTTTCTCGACTCACGTCGCGGCATGCCGCCCGCGCTATATGCGGAAATAATTTCGTACACGTTAGTTCACGTACAACGCGCACACAGTGATAGCAATAATATATAATAATATTACCACGGTGGGAGGTGGAAAAAAAGGAGAGGGAGGAAGCGAGAGTAAAGAGTAACGCGATGGTAACAGGAAGACTAATAATAATGACAATAATAATAACTCCAGTAGTGACAGCGACAGCGGTCGTGCCCGGAGTGGCGCGCGACCAGCTGACTAAAGCCGCGGGGAGAAAATGGAGCGGAGCGACTTTTGAGGCGTCCTGTACGTGGCGAGTCACGGTTGCGAGTTCACCAACGTCGGTATCTTACCCCCCCCCCCTTGGCGACTATTACCGTTGCCTACTCGTCGTCTGTCTTTCTCCCTCCGCACGACCGATCTCGCCGTTCTCTCGTTTTCTGCCTCCTCTCGCTCTCTTTAGCGCGCCGGCCACGTCTCTCCGCCCTTCCGTCGCGCCCGCGATGCGCTTTCATTTTTATCGGTGACAAGCCGGGCCCCTAATGTCGGATACCCGTGGTATAAATCAGAGAGCGTCAACGAGAGTTTGGCATGAGAGAGGCGGAGAAGGGGGACGATTGGAGCCTCCACTTTTCCATACGATGCTGCTTCATGCGATCGTCTTTTCACAAGCTCCGACTTCTGACAATGCTCATGTTTAGACGTGGAGCCTTGAGGCGTCGATTTAAAATACGAAGGACGATGATTGCTATGCAATAATCATTGTTTAGCTCTCAGCCTTCGGAAAATTGCATAGCACGTGTGGATTCTCTCTCGCGGAGAATCCAGACTTACGAGCTTGCCGAGAGCCACCGTAATAAATAAACGGAAATTGTAAAGCAAATTTTGTTGGTGTAAAACAAAAAAAATAAAATATAACACACTCTGGAGGATAAATGACTCTCGATCACTGTCCTCCGAAATTGTTAAGGAAGGATAGAATGCGCGAATATTTTAGCCTCCTTCTTTTATCCAAGCGCATTCGAATTAATCATTCGTAAGCCTTATCATTCGTAAATCATAATAATAATATAGGAGGAAAGAATTCGCAGAAGATTAAACGGTTTATAAAAAAACAGTCAGAAGCGTTTGTTGTAATCAAGGTAACAGTAATATATCATTTCTAGTCCAAGACTCGATTCCCTTCGGCGGTCTCATTATTCTAACCAACACGCTCGAATCAACAAACTCGATAAAAAGTCACCCAACTCAAAGAAAGAAACGTCGGGGGAACGCGAAGTCTGAGGAAAATCCGAGTCTCGCGCTTGATTTCGAGGGAAATTCGCCCCGTGAATTCTCTCACGAAGAAAAAGAAGGAGAAAGACGAGAAAGAAGGGGAAGAGGAAAAATTACCGGGACTCCAAAAAAAAAAATGTCACAAGCTCAGAGTGATCTAACCTATCGCGAGCGCGTCCCCTAACCTCTTCGCCGCACGGCGGCACATCCGCTCGCGGGAGGGAACTCGGCGCGATTATGTCCGCGTAACGTGAACGACGGGCCGGTCTGCGTACGACGTTGCACGTCGATCGGTGGACGCGCGGATCGGCGGGGCGGGCAGGCGCGGCACGAGGCACGACGCGAGTCGGCGACGGTGATCGCGCGTAAAATGAAATGGGGCATTGGGTGAAAGTACTCGCGGCTGCGGCGGCGGAGGCAGCGGTGACGGCGGCGGCAGCGGCAGCGACAGCGGCAGCGAGCGAGTCTACCTCTTATATCAGATCAGTACGGTAGGCGCGCCTCGTCACAACACGCGTCCACCTCGCGTCCGTTTCTTCTGGCCAGGGCGACTCCCCCGATGACCTCTCCGTCGATCGTCCTATCACGGGAATCCTGCTCCGCATCGCGTCCCCGGACTATGCTGCCGACCTGGTAGCACCTCGTCACTGTCCGACACGCAACGATTGAGAGCAGCTTTGTTACCTCCCTGCAGAATGCGCAACCTGTGGCCCCTTTGTCTCCTCCTGTCGCTGGCCTCCCTCGTTCCGGCGCTGGAAAACGGCTTGGCCAGGACACCCCCGATGGGATGGCTAGCTTGGGAAAGATTCAGATGTAACACCGACTGCAAGAATGATCCGGATAACTGTATAAGGTGAGCACCAGCAGTCTGGATGATACATAGAGATAGGATACTCGGTGCAAGCTCAGAAGGAATTACAGTGTTTTTGGTCTCCTGTGCTTCACAGTGATCGGCTCTTCCGGACCATGACAGATATAGTGGTGGCCGAGGGATACGCCGCAGTGGGCTATGAGTACATTAACGTGGATGATTGTTGGCTAGAGAAAGAAAGGAATTTAAATGGACAGCTTGTACCAGACAGGGAGAGATTCCCATATGGCATGAAAAGCCTGGCAGATTATGTAATTCACTGTCAATCGTTCTTAGAAATGTCTCATTTCTCTGTTTCAACACTTGCCAGTTACACGAATATGTTATTCTGAACTTGGCTTATTTCCCAAACTCATAACTCTTTCTTTCCGACTGTACAATGTTTCATAAAAGACATCACTTTGTTTGTCAGGTGCACTCAAAGGGCCTCAAGTTTGGTATCTACGAGGATTATGGTAATTACACTTGTGCCGGCTATCCTGGTATATTGGGCTATCTAGACATAGATGCTGCTACATTTGCTTCCTGGGATGTGGACTATGTGAAATTAGATGGATGTTACTCACATCCTGTTGACATGGACAGAGGTACAGTTGTATCCTATTAATAGTCAATGAATTCTCTTTCTCTTAATTAAATGTTATAATGATACGATATATTTTTTTTACGATAGGCTATCCCGAGTTTGGATATCATCTGAATCAGACTGGAAAGCACATGATATATTCTTGTAGTTGGCCCGTTTACCAAATCTATGCTGGAATGAAAGTGAGCATCGATGCATTTTCTTTGATTTATTTCTTCCTTCGAAAGCACAATCACTGATATTTATCTAATTTTCAGCCAAATTACACTGCGATTGCAGAAAACTGCAACCTCTGGCGCAACTTTGATGATATTCAAGATTCCTGGGCCAGCGTAGAGAGCATTATCGATTATTACGGTAATAATCAAGACGCGATTGTGCCCAACGCCGGTCCTGGACACTGGAACGATCCAGACATGTTAATTATTGGCAACTTCGGTCTGAGCTACGAACAGAGCAAAACGCAAATGGCGATCTGGGCTATACTAGCGGCGCCGTTGCTCATGTCTGTCGATCTCAGGACGATTAGGCCAGAGTACAAAGCCATTCTACAGAACAAAAAGATTATCGCCGTAGACCAAGATCCGCTGGGTATTCAAGGTCGACGGATATACAAAGTGAGTGATTTACAAATTAAATGTGTCAGTGCCTCCAGTATATTGGTGTGATGATTGATGAGTTGATTGAAATTAAGTGTTCATTCAGATTAGTGACGATGATCACTCGGCTGAAATCCTCGTTTCACGCAGTGTGATCCATTGCTAATTTACAATTGCAGCACAAGGGCATTGAAATTTGGGCAAGGCCCATCACGCCAGTTTATCAAAACTACTACTCGTACGCGATCGCGTTCGTCAACAGGCGAACGGACGGCACGCCGTCAGACGTGTCGGTCACGCTGAAGGAGCTGGGTCTACAATATCTAGGAGGATATCGAGTGGAGGTACGTACCGTCACCCGCAGTGTGTTAATCGGGAGAAAGTATCTTTAGGTGACTCGGCAGCAAGAATTCGGAAGTATCATTATATACTTTTCAGGATCTGTACGAAGACGTGGATTACGGAGTACTCACGCCACAGACCAAGATCAAGGTCAAGGTGAACCCGTCGGGCGTAGTGATATTGCGATGCAATTTGAATATAGACGACGTGTTTCGTTACTCGCCGTATTCATCCTTGAATCAGGTCTTTAAAGTTAGGCAAAATTCATTTAAATGATCGTACGTCTAATGTATTTCTTTAATTTCTATTGGCGTTTTTATTATGCGCGCACGTGCACGCGCGTTACGTTCTATTAACATAATATAATATAAGGAAGAATAGGAAATAAAGAATTTTGTAAACTTTATTCGCCCACGTTATTCGAAACGATATTCCGTATTCGTTATTTATTCGCTTCGCGTTCATGTCACATCTGTATCGTATCTGTATCGTTTTACATTCATCCTTGGCTTTAATCAATGTGCGCACCGGCGCGCATTTCTCGTACATATAGAATGTCTGCTATAGACGCGTTTGACGACCAAGGTGATACTCTCTGTCGGATACTCGCTAAAGCTTGATCCGTCAAAGTGTCCTTTCAGACGCCTGATAACTTGGAAAAAAAAAAAAAAAAAAAAAACCGAATTGATATCGCATTCACGCGAAAGAGAAAAGTCGCTTCAGTTTTTTGACAAGAAGCAATTGGATCTGACACGCGCGTTTCGCCGCACGTGCGAGCGCCAAATGTATTCTCTTTGTATTCGCCGTTTGTATTCGCAACTTCCATTGACGTCTGCGACACGTCACGAGGGACGCGCGAGAACTACTACAAATATGCAATCGCGGAGACGTTCTCCACGGAGGCTATTATAATATAAATTCGCTATATAGATATATCGCAAAGTTCACACGTTTCTCGCGCATCTACCTACGCTCGCCCGCTCCACCCGCAGCTCTCTGGCAGGAGAAACGTATCTCATTACACCCACTCTCTCCACCGCCCTTTCCTCCCGCTTACGCTGGTAATGCGTCACAGCGACGCCCGCGTCGCGTCGCGTCGCGTCGCGTCGTGTCGCGTCGCGCTGCCTCGCGCGTGCTCCCTTCAACCCCCAGCGGAACCGCAGCCATTGTCGGAGGGTCGGTCGGTCGGCTCGATTCTTCGCGGAACGCGCGACCACCGTGCGTAACACACCCTTTCGTCGTCGCGCGAATATCTCGTGCGCGGAAACCGAACGAACGAACGAACGAACGAACGAACGAACGAACGAGCGAGCGAGCGAATATATAAAAACGTAAAAGAGGAGAAAGAGAAAGAGAGAAAAAAGATAAAGGGGCGAAATTCAACGACGCGAGGCGATGTGAGAGGACATCCGTTCGTCGGCGCGATGAAACGCGAACATCTGCGCGACGCCGATTTCGCGCGAGCATCACCAGCACCAGCACCAGTACCAGCCGACGCTGCCATCGCCGCCAACGCCGTCGCCACCACCGTCGTCGCCACCATCACCGCCGGCGTCGCCGCCGCCGCCGCCGCCGCTGCCGCCGATCCCGATCTCGCCGCCGACGTCGCCGCTGTCACCGCGCTGCTGCACCCTTTTGCCGCCACGGCAGCGTATCTCATCGCGAGCATGAAAATTCCGCCTCTCTCATGACCCAGGTAAGAAAATCATTTTTGACGGTAAGAAAAGATCCGGACGGCGCGTGCCGTCGATCCACGTCCTCGTCGTCGGGATCTCCCCCTCGAGGTGACGGTCTCGCGCGATCAGCGATATGGCGGCCGTCGCCGGCCCGAACGGCGGATTCGCGTAGGCAGAAAATTGATTTTGCCTATTCAGTCAATACGGACGAAACGCGATCGGTTTTACGCGATAACGTCGAGGCGGTCTTATCAATATCGCGTATAAAGTGGTCGATAACTTGTGCACTTGGCGGTTCTCCGATCGCGACGGCTTTCGATCACCTCGCACCGTCCGACTCCTCGGTACTTCGAGTTCCTGCGGCCGCCGGAAATCTCAAAATCGTTGCGTCTACATCGGCGTTCGTCGTCAAATCAGCTCGAAACGGTCATAACGTCATTGACGTAGAGTCAATTCGCATGAATGAATAATGGCGCCACATCGAATCGTTTTGAACGATGACGCGTTTGGTGCTGCGTTACAGAGCGGAGTCGATAGTCTCCGACGCGGTTATCCGCGTCGATAACGCGCGATCGCGAAATTCCAGGTTCGACTGTCGAATCCCGCTCCTTTCCGAGACTCGGCGCACCTCGGTTCTCTAAAAGTGAAATCGCAAATTATTACTCGTTCTCGACGTCAATTTATCGGGGAGGGAAAAAAAAAAAAAAAAAAGACAGACTCGAGGACAAAATTCATTTAATTATCAGCTTCGATTAATACGTTCTATAATTAAGCGTCAGACAAGGTTCGTTTAAGATTTATTACGTAACGTTATAATGATACTTCGCGTACGCGTGTGAATTATATAATTTTTATTATGTAATTCGTTATATTATTTATGTATATACGATTCTCTCCTACGTTTCCTTGTAATCGCCTTGTTCTCACGATTAATGCTATCGCTTGTTTATTCGTTATTACGAAACACGATGCCTTCTTTACTCTCCCTTGCCATTGTGTTCTCATTGAAATAATTCTGATCTAATCTCATTATTAGATACGTGAGATAACGACTGCGGCACCTCGCGTGCTCAATTAACGCGTAACCGGGACCGAGGTGACAGAGAGAGAGAGAGAGAGAGAGAGAGAGAGAGAGAGAGGAGGGAGGGGAGGGGGAGGAG